TCTCCCAGCAGTAGACTCCCTTCCTTTGACTTTTTTCTACTGATGAAACCAAATAGCCATGTGTATTGTTTCTACCGTCTCTTGCAAACATAAAACCTCTTTTAGTATTTTTTTAGCTGTTGTTCTATAACTGTGTGCTCTTTGCTAGTATACCTCCTTAGTGATTATACTGATTTTCCATGTTCTGCTCCTTTTTAATTCTTAGCACAAGTAAAAGTTCCCTATGGATTCGGAATGATTTTTTAGGCTTCCTTTCCCCCACTTTTTTCCCCACTGGAATGAGGTTCAGTTGTACATCATTTAAATTGAGAATATCTCTACAGAAGATCCCAATTAGTACTTCTCTGGTTTTCAACTAGCTCTTCTCCATTGGTGGGATCAGATCTAGGAGACATATGATCCTCTTAACTCTGTTCCAGCTATTTGGAAAATAAAACAATAAGACATTTTTTGCTGTCTTCGCCATGACAGTTGTCCATTCCATGCCAGTGTAGTTAAAATTTCCATTATTAATACGTTTCCTCTCTGAAAATTAATGTCCAGCAGAATAGTATCCTGATCCTCGTATCTGCTTCAGTTGTCTATAATACAACCTCATCATAACCTACTGTATTTTTTGGAGTATAAGACGCACCAAGGTTTTGAAAAGGCAAATTTTAAAAAAAGGTTTTGTACTCTGCAGACCTCCCAAAAAATGGCCCGTTTTTCGCAAAAATGGGCCTGTTTTTTGTCAAAAAAAGGGCATGTGTAGCTTTTAGGAGGCTTATAGAGTGCTCCTGGGGGCTGGGAGGGGGGAAAAATTGAGCAAAAAAAGGACTGTTTTTCGCTCATTTCTGCCCTCCCCATCCCCCAGGAGCACTCTGAAAGCCTCCTAAAGGCAATGCACGGCCATTTTGGTGAAGGGGGTGGGGTTTTGGGACACAAACAATGCTGTATTCAGTGTATAAGATGCACCCAGATTTTCAGCCTCTTTTTTTGAGGGGAAAAGGTGCGTCTTATATTCCGAAAAATACAGTATTTGTTGTTTCCCTTCCATTGTGTTTTCCCCAAATATTGGTCATTGATGCTGAGATTTCTGGATGTGGAGCATCCACATGGAGCATGGCTACACCTCCTTCACATGTGACAGTCCCTCTTTGTGTGTGGTCTGTTCCTTTCAAATGCATTGTACCCATGCATTCAATCCTTGCATTCCACTTATGAATTTCCTCCCCCTATGTTGCACCATTGCTCACTAAATCATATTCATCTTCCTGCATTAAGACTTCTAGTTCTCCCCATTTGTTCTCTACTTGTGAAATAGAAGATTATTGTTTCCCTAAGGAAAGTTTGCCCTGAGCTATTTGGATTCAGAATAAATGCATTTTAAATACGTTTAATAGCTTGCGACTGAGGAGGCTTCTGCTCTATTAAGCTTCCTTTCGAGATTTCCTATATGGGCCATCCAGAAACCCTTAAAAGAAAAAATATATATGGGAATAATATATTTTGTCCTTGTTGCATCCTGACATTGTTAATTGCAGTAAATTTGGCTTATACCAAACTTTCAACTCAGAAAGATTTTTTTGAATCTGTTGGTTGGAATCAGATCTAGAAGAGATGATCCTCTTGTTTTTTCTTCAGTTTTTTGGAAAATGAAATTTTTTGAGCTTTGCAGTCCTAGCTATGAAAGTTGGCCAACAGAAAATATAGTCCAGATCCTACCATGAATAGCAGCCAACCAATTGCATTTGGAAAACTCACAAATACAAACAGTCTTTAGTGAGTGGTATTCACAATATGCTGCCCTTGTTTCCAGAGATATAAATGCCATCAAGTAGCCACTGATATTTTGGATTTCCATAAATACTCATCCCCCTTGAGAATTGTGTGAATTAGTGCCTAACACCAAATTTGATGGCAGTGAATAACATACTGTAGTTAACAAATACTTTTTTAAAATCACTCTTGAATTTTCACATATTTTCTTTCTGATCTTTAAAAACAAAATACAAAACATAACTTTGTACACTGGACTTTGTAAGCTTTTCAGAAAAATTTGAACTGGATTTTTTTCCCCTATGTAAATAAGCATAAATAAATTAGTGTATTTCTCTCAGCATCCATAGCCTGTGTAAAATTATTTAGTCTACAATAGTTCATCGGGGGGAGGGGATCTAGTATATTTTGAGGTCTGAATGTGGCATTTAAAACGTTGATGTGTAGAGTGAAATATAGAGAGGTTTTAGACTAATTCCCATAAACAAATAAGGCCAGTGTGGAACACAATTAAAATATTGAACTATCATTGAGGAGATCCAGATTCTGCACACTCAGCCACAGAAGCTGACTGGATGGTTTTGGGAAGGTCTCTCCTTCAGCCCAACTACCTCACATGGTTGTTGCTGTTGTGGGAAAAATCAAATTTATACTGGCTGTGGTTTACAGCAGCGATCCCCTACCTTTCTAGCTTTGCAGACCGGTAGGTCGGGACGGATAGGGAATGGTTATGTGCGACTAGCCGGCAAGTGTGTGTGTGTGTGCATGGAGCTCCATTTGCACAAGCAGCAGCCATACACACCGCCTCTTGCACAGATGGAGCTGCACACCCGCACTCACCCACCACTTCTGTGGCCCATTTCTGAATGGGCTGCGGCCTAGTAGTGGGCTACGACCTGGGGATTGGGAATACCTGGCTTAGAGGTAAACACATCCTAAATAAAAATATTGTTTATAATACTTGTACAAGTTGTAATTCACAGTATCTAGGTACACTATGTGGTTGGTTTGTTGCGTAAAGGCATTTCATGGGCTCATCAAATTGGTAGTGACCTCTGCTCAAAGCAAAAATTCATTGAGTTAGAACAATTCAAGACAACAGTAGTATGTATGCTTGGACATATCCAATGGGTGAGAGCCCCCATCGCTCCAGGTCAGTGTGTCAGGCCTGCAGTTATCTCCCTTTTAGGATCTTTGGCCTGCCACACTCTCTCTTATTTCATTATGCTGCTTCATTAGTGTAGTATTTGGGAGGGGGGAATGGAAAGGAGTAGAATTGTGGAATGTGTTGTTGTCATTCTTTTCTAGAAGCCCAAGGTCATCTTTTGTCTCCGCACCTCTGCACCTGACCGCAACCAGCTGGGTGGAGATGCCGGCGTGGAAGAAGAAGATTGGACCATGTGATGGATTTGTGGGTGTGGGGTCAAGATCATGAACTTTCAACTGGGTGGGAATCCTAGGTAACTTCCAGAATTGGGATTCCACAGATGTGCCAAGATGTCTGACTTATTAAATTGGAACTTTAAGGATCGTTTTGCCTTGGACTCTGATTTAATTCTGCTTGGAACGCTGACACAGTGTTTCTCAATTTTAGCAACTTTAAAATGTGTAAACTTCAACTCCCACAATTCCTCAGCCAGTTGAAGTCGACACGACTTAAAAGTTGCAGTTGGTTGAGAAACACTCGAGGTAATTGATCCCACTCCCTGTAACTTGAATCTGTAATTCCATATCCAGCACTCTGAAATACGAAAGAAGAGGCCCTGACCTTCTCCTTGTGATGCCCTTTCAGGCATGTTGAGGAGCATATTACATTTCTTTCTAAACATTTTTTTCTCTGGGCTAAGTCCTCCCTTTGCCTTGCCACTTCAGTCTCTCCTCACAGGGCTTGGTTTTTAGTCCCACATTATTATTTTTTGCCAGACCTATACTTGAATACTGCTCACCTGCTTGGAACCCACACTGTACTTTGGACATTAAAACATTAGAGAGGAGTGTCCAGAGGAATTTTACAAGAAGGATACTCAACTCCTTTGCTCATAATAAAATTCCGTATACCACCAGGCTTGAAATTTTAGACCTCGATAACCTTGAACTACACCATCTTCATTTCATCCTAAGCTTAGCACACAATATTATCTGCCATAACGTCCTACCTGTTAATGACTACTTTTACTTCAACCGCAATAACACAAGGGCTATCAATAGATACAAACTAAATTTAATACGTTCTAATCTTGATTGCAGGAAAATCGATTTCAGCAATAGAGTAGTAAATTTGTGGAACACCCTACTTGATCCTCTTGTTAGTTCCTCTAACCCCCATACCTTTTACCTTAAGCTGTCTACCGTGGCCTTTAAGGGGGTGTGCATAAGCGCACCAGTGTGCCTACTATCCCTGTCTTACTGTCCCGTTTATATGTACTCTTTTTATGTGTTTATGGCTATGTTTTGCTTACTTATATCCATTTATCTGTGCCATTTTTGTATGTGTTTTCATACTTGTTTCCTGGTACTTGTTGACAAATAATAAATAAATAAAATAAATTATCACGTCCATGTTTTCTTGGCAACATGGATGTGGTTTGCCCTGGCCTATATCCAGGGGGTTCTTTTCAACTTTCCAGGGCAATTACCAGCTCTGGTGGTCCCAGACACTTCCCCCCTCAAGGACAGAAGCAGGACCAACCTTGTTCAGCTTCCAGAAAGAGCAGAGCTGACTAAGTCTGCATTTGTGGAGACTCTCCAGATGAGTGCTTCGGAAACTTTAGCAACTTTAAGATGCGTGGGCTTCAACTCTCAGATTACTCAGCATGCTTGAAGTCCAAACAACAATTGCTGATGTTGAGAAACACTGATGTAGATAGAAGCTAATAAAGGCAGGTGCACCGCATTGCCTTATGGTGGGCCTTGTCTCATAGCATTTTGTAGTCCTAGCAGGTGTGAAGCTTCTGTAGTTTTGATTTATCAGTATCTTGGGATGCTGTTCTTCTGTAATAACAACCTAATTAGTTATTAATTTAAAATTCAAGTGTTAAAAAATACGCCAGCAGCCTAGCCTTTGGTGGGATCCTGCCAAAAGACAGATATATTTTTTTCCATGATGCTACAGTATGGGTTTTGGGGTGATAGCAGGAGAAGCACCATGAAGGTGGCATCTGTTTGTTTGTATTTAATTCTGATGAGTGGGGACTAGTAATAATGGAGGAAAAGATGCATTTTCTTGTTATCTATGTTTGCAGGCTTTCTGGCTCGCAGGCGGCAGGAGTCTTTGCTGTGGGGATGTTTTCGTTTTCCCGTCTAACGTGGCAATGGTCTATCACAGCAGAGGTTTTCAGCTTAAACAATCTGTTTGTGGGGCTGCTGATGGCGCTTTCCGTGCAATTCGAGGAAGCAACAACTGCAAAAGAGAGATCAAAGGTAGCCTACTCGGGATCAAAAGGCTTCAGGAATGGTTTCCCTTCCCCTTAAGCCTCTGGGGAGTAGGACCAAACTACATAGGGTGGCTTAAGCCAATTGTTCCTCACGCTTGGACTCTTTGAATATATTGGGGTTGTAACTTGCCAGATATTGCTTGGGAATTGGACAAGTTTGTGGCTTTCACTGACAGTAGCAGCAAGATCTTGACCTAAAATCCTTACCCTTCATTGATCTTAAAAGGAGGTATGTGAGCCTCTTTGTATGAAAAGTGAGGGTATAGTCCTGCCACCGGTGTGACAGGACTTGATGTGTGAGTCAAAGTAATATTTCAAGTTGATCTTGGGTGTAATCAGGAACTCTTCTCCTTGCTAGAGCTGTAGCTTCCTGAAGTCTTTCTTAATATACCGTATTTTTCGGAGTATAAGATGCACCTTTTTCCCTCAAAAAAGGCGCTGAAAATCTGCGTGCGTCTTATACACTGAATACAGCATTTTTTGCCTCCTGAAACCCTGCTCCCTTCACCAAAATGGCCGTGTATAGCCTTTAGGAAGCTTCCAGAGTGCTCCTCGGGGCTGGGAAGGGCAGAAATGAGCAAAAAGTGGGCTGCTCTTTTGCTCAATTTTGCCCCCCCCCCACCTCCTAGGAGCACTCTACAAGTCTCATAAAGGCTATTCATGCCCCTTTTTGGGGAAAAAACAGGCCAATTTTCACGGAAAATGGGCGGTTTTTGGGAGGTCTGCAGAGTGCAAAACCTTTTTTTTTTTAAAATTGCTTCTTCAAAATCATGGTGCGTCTTATACTCCGGTGCGTCTTATACTCCGAAAATATGGCATCTCCCCTCCCCCTCTTTTTTTCCTGATATGCAGAAGGGAGCCCAGTTTGGGGATGGGGGAAGCGTAGGACAAGATAGGCAGCATGCAAGAGTACATGGCTCCAGAACAAACTGTTTTTGCAACCTTGGAGCCCTTCAGTCATGATTGTCCCAAATTTGTGCGGTAGTTTTACAGTCTTCCCTTCCAATCTAAGAAAGCAACAAGATCACACCTACCGCAATCTCAGCCTACTCACTAAAGTTCTCCAAATACTGTGTGCAACCTCTGGCCACCTAAGATAACTTCTTGTTGTCTACTATTGTACAACCCTTGGATTTTCTCATAATCCCGATCAAGTACTAACCTGTGTACCTTTTATGAGACCAGCCAAGGTCATCTTTTGGCTTCCAGGATTGTAAATTTGGAGCCATGTGAACAGATGTGGTCCATCCTCCATAGCTCTGGCTGCCTTTTGTCCAAGAGACAAACACAGTATTGGGCAATGGTGAAATTCGATTTTTATTACTACAGGTTCTGTGGGCGTGACTTGGTGGGTGTGGTGTGGCTTGGTGGGCGTGGCTTGGTGGGTGTACAAAATCTCCATTCCCACCTCACTCTGGGGCCAGCCAGAAGTGGCATTTGCCGGTTCTCTAAACTACTGAAAATTTCAGCTACCGGTTCTCCGAACTACTCAAAATTTCCACAACTGGTTCTCTAGAACCTGCCAGAACCTGCTGGATTTCACCCCTGGTAATTGGCCATTATGTTGCAAGCTCCACCCTTTGAAGCTTGAAGACTCCTGTAGATGCTGCGGTGAGAACCAACTGCTTCATGCCCCAGAATCACTGTAAGAGCAAAAGCAATTTGGAAAACCAATTTAAATCCATGGTTAGAATTGATGTTTTCCTTTTTTGTTTTGCAGATCTGTAAAGTGGGTGCCTTCTCTTGTGGACTTAGCATGTGCAACCAACATACCATTGTGATCTACGTGCTTTGCATTGCTTTGTGGGTTTCCTCTCGCTTGTTCAGAGAGAGAGTGAGTATTTGGAAGTCTAGAAACATGCTTGAGTTAAAAGGCAGAGTTGGAATTTTAAGAATAGTCCTTGCTTTAATAACCAACACTGAGACTGGCAATCCCATCACTAAGTGATGTGGTTGTTAGGCAAGACATCCTTTATGCAAATTTGCTGCATAAATTTGCATAATATTTCTGTATAAATTTGCATAAAGCTTCTCAATTGATTCTACTTTTTGGAAGCTGACTATGAAGCACGCTTATGGTGAACATGTGATGGTCCATGAAGTGCCCAAATCTCAATTCTGAGACTGTGACAGTCGTAAATGCAGGACCAGTCATAAGGATACATTTTCAGCACCATTGTAAGTTCAAAAGGTTGCTAAACAGGGCAGTCATTAAGCGAGAACTATCTATATGTGAGAAAGATGCTGGATTGGAGGTTGCTCATTCATAGAAAGCTGTCAATTATTTGCTACTCTCTCTGTTTTCGTTCCCTGCCTTGTTTCCACATCAGTTTCTGGTTCTTTTCATTTTTATATGTTGATGTAAAAAAATGGAATGAAACAAGAAAATATGTCGGTGGCTAAAGAAGATGTTTGGAGCACATTGATACTTCTGAATACTTTGGGGTATTATATTATTAATGCTAGAATTGTTATATTTTTGAACAAATGTACAATATATTTCACTACGTTACTTGGTGTTATAGTTCTTAGCTGCCACCATAGCAATTTGGAAGCATCTTTCTGTTCAGCCTTCGTTTGAGAGAATCAGCTTCTGTTTTGTCTATGGAGATTCTCAATCATCGAGGTCATGGTTGTCCCCAAAACTGAGGAAGCTTCTTGGATAAGAAGTGAAACATTTCAAGGAAAAAACCAGGAAAGTCCTATGGCCTTTTCAAAAGCACCTTTGGGACAGATTCTGTTTTACAAATCAGGACCGGAAAATGAAGAAGGTTCTCAACAAGTCTTCAAAAGCAGAACTGAAAGCTAAGATCACTTTTCTCTTTCCTAAATAGTTTATTGAGATACTTAACTTCTTCATCCTCTTGTATATTTAGAGATTCCAAAGCTGGTCTTTTTGTTTGAGGCTCAAATCCTCTCTTGAAACAAGGGCCAGTGGATTCCCTTTTTAAAAACACTTCTAAATGGAGATGTACTCTGCAGGTAATGCTTCTTATAAATTATATTTAATGGTTACTCCACTTCAGAATGCTTGGTTGGTTTTTGTGCTCTTCCATGAGACAAGTCATGTGGTCATGATGACTTGTCACTTATTTTAACAGGAAAAAAAAAGTGGCTTTACTCTTTTCTGCCCCCTCAAGAATTTTTTAAAGTTTGAATCTCTCAGGAAAAGGGATGTGAAATCGTTACGGTAATATCACTATAAATTGTACCGTGAGCTTATAATATTTAATAATTTAAATTGGCTAACTCAGATTATGTCCCTGTATAATCCATAGTTCTCAGAAGATTAAAGGTAAAAGTAAAGGTTCCTCCACACATGCATACTAGTCATTCCCGACTGTAGGGAGCGCTTCTCATCTCCGTTTCAAAGCTGAGGAACCAGCGCTGTATGAAGATGTCTCTGTGGTCATGTTGCCGGCATGACTAAACGCCGAAGGCACACTGAACACTGTTACCTTCCCACCAAAGGTGGTCCCTATTTTTCTACTTGCATTTTTTTACATGCTTTCAAACTGCTAGGTTAGCAGAAGCTGGGACAAGTAATGGGAGCTCACTCCCGTTACATGGTGCTAGGGATTTGAATCCCTGAATTGCTGATCTTCTGATTGACCGGCTCATTGTCTTAGCCACTGAGCCACTGTGTCCCACCTCAGAAGATTAATTGCCCTTTTTTGGTACCCCTAAGAGTAGGCCTCATGGGTTTCCATGGAGGCGAGGTTATCAGCAATATGGAGAGTATTGCGATTGTAGTCCTGACTCTTTTGTATGTGACATCGTTGCACAAAAAAAGGGTGTGTGTGAAACATCCATCACAATGTCCCAAAGATGCTTTTTCAAAAGGCAAGTGGAGTTGTCATCCCTGCCCCCGAGACGTTTCTCTTCTCATTCAAAAAGCTTCTTCAGTTCTAACTGAATGGTGGAAGGTGGAAGGATTCATATTCCTTGCAGTCATCTGGCCATTAGCACTATTTCTGAGAGTCACTGAGGCTGCTTGAAGGTTTACCTGTGCCCTCAAGGTCACCTGAATAGTGCAAATGGTTGTGGAGCCTTCTTGGAACTGCTGAGATTGCTGGCAATTCAGATCTGGATGACTGAGAATCTCCATAAACGTCCATCACAATGCCATTCCTGCCACCTTGCAGATTTCGTTCCCCATCTACAGATGCTGCTGCTGAGAAATCTTCAGCTCCTCTAAATATGGATGTTCCAATTGGTAATGGCCTTTAGAAGATCAGCACTAGACTTTTAAGACATTAGATTTTAATTTAATTATTGTGTGTGGGGGGGGAGCGTTGATCAAAACCCATCCAGTTTTTAATCATTGCAAAGTGGTTTATCTCTCCTTTGCAGCATTTCTGCTATCTGGTCCTGTCATGGCTTAATTTCAATGGCCAAAGGTGCCAGTGATGTGATCCTTGGGAGCCTCAGATACTATTTGTTTCAGTCTGAAATTGCATCCTGCCATGCAGAAAGGATCAGGGTGATGTCATCCTCCAAGAGTAATCCACGGAGAATGCCATTTTTAACATCATGTTTTGAGACTCCACATGCAAATTAAGATATCAGCTCTTATGCGTCAGTATATTACTTGTTTGCTGCCTAATTTAGAAGATTTGTGCACTCTAGGCATCCAACTCAACATATTTGCACATTCCAGGGGATGTATTTCAAAACAATATGGCAAATTAAGAAATAATACTAAAAAGGCATACGTCAATCTTAAGTCCATCTCCCGGAAGGTGGGATCTTCTATTATCTTGGCCCAATATCTGGCGGGGGGGGGGGGGGAGCCATCTTTTTAAAACTTTCCTGAAGATTAGCAGGATCGGGGCCAACTGAAGCTTAGCTTAGATAATATTTCTCTCTGTCCACTTGCTGCCCCTTTTGAAGTTGGAGCAATGTAATGCACAGGCAAACAATAGGGTTCCACCACAAAAGCGCGTAGGACAAAATCGCGCTCGACAAAAGCGCGCTGTGACGTCATCACAGCGCGACGAAAAAGTTCGAAAAATGTAAAAATAAAGCGAAAACGTTACCCTAAGCCCCCAAACCTAACCCTAAACCTAACCCTAAACCTAACTCTTAACCTAACCCTAAACCTAACCCTAAACCT